AGTACGCGGGGTCCAGACGTGCGTGAGAGTTGAAACTACGGTGCTGGGGTGGTACCTGGCTGGGGAACACACTGACAAAATTTCAGCTTCAAAGCTTGCGCGGTTAGCGGGTTGAACACCCGGAAGACGAACACACACACACACACACACAAACACACACACACACACGCACACACACACACGCACACACACACACGCACACACACACACACACACTGACAGGGTCGTTGCAATACGCATTTTTGCTGCCTGTTGCAGCGCTCTAACGCTGCACGGCAAAAACGCATAAAAATTGATAATCATACAGGCTGAAGGTCCTTGCGGCACCAAAATGCAATACTTTCACTCTAGTTGACGCCCTTTTCCCTTACTTGCAGGAAGAAGTCAAGACACAGACAGAATGAGTCCAAACGTTAAACTACAGTGCAGGGACCATTTCTGTTGTTAGCGATCTACAAGTTTAGCGCAAAAACGCATGATCGCACCGGCAAGCTTGATGCGTTCCAGCTTGGGTTATTATTCATGTACGCCTGAGTCCCACGTACGGAAACCTCAAAAAACGTGCAAATTTTTTGCTAGAAAGGCGATCTCGGGAACCAAAGAAGATGGAAAGCTGAAATTTAAAAAAAAATGTTCCCTGTCCACGTTCAACTTAAAGATTTCAAATTTAGCTCCCAGGCATGAATGATTCCTAAGTGTGGATATGTAAGAATTTTTTTGGGAAAATTGCTCACTGAACCGCTAGGGCACTTTCAAACCCAAACTGCAACGCACCAAGGCTAGCCGGTGCGATCATGCGCTTTTGTGCCAAACTTAGAGATCGCTTACAGCAGGAATGGTCCCTACGCTGCAGTTTAACAGTTGAACTAATATTGGATTTATCTTTCCCCACATGCAGAGGTAAAGGGCGTCGGCTAGGATGAATGTACTGCGTTGTAGGGCCACGTGAACCTTCAGCGTACATGATTATTAACTTTTGCGTGAGGCCCGTTCGTTTTTCAGCTGAATGCTCGCTCATTGGAAAAATGCAAATTTCAAGAAAACCAGAAGAGGATTATGAAAACTGCAAAATGTACTCGCTCTTGAGTTTGCGATAAAACTGAGTATTGATCATGTCTGTGTGCAAGGAATTTGACCTTCAAATTGAATTAAGACCACACGTGAATATAGAATATCCTTGCAAAGTTTCAGCTTCGCAGCCTGTCTAACAAGCGAAATAGCCACTTCGCGAAAAATATCTTTGAAGTGTCCTAAGTCACGGTACAAGTGCAAATCGAAACTCAATTTAGCTTACGATTTTCCATGAACGACAAATACTCTGACAAAATTTCATCCGCTGTTTTTGGGCTAGTTTTC